CATAAAAAGCACAATTGCTAGCAAACGTAGATACTTGTGGCTGCCCACTTTTGTTGACTTTTATGGTACTTTTCTTGTGAGGATTATCCCTCTCAATTGCCACATGTCACTGCCAGATCCCAATTCTTATGAGAGACTGAATATGCAAATCCACCATAGGCAGTCCGTTTATAAACACAGAATTCTAACCACAAACTGCAGCAACCGGCCCAGTAGGCCAGCCTGCTACCTACAAAACCAGTCCAAGAAGCCTACCTAGTCTTTACAGTAACCAACTCAGGAAGATGGTACCAGCCCAGGAAGCCAAACAATAACCCCTGTAGCAATAGATCCCAAATAGCCAAGGCTTGATAACTAACAGCCTTTTGTTCCTGCTTCCAACTTAGGATCAACCAGAGAAAGCCGAATATACACCCTAAACCAATCTCACAGGGTGCTCTCCTTCTAGTTAGCCTGCCTTCAACATCCCCATGTCAATAGTCTCTTCTCAGGGCATACACAAAACTTTCTTTTTCAAAGCTTCCCCATTCCTCTATCTGCTTTTGAGTCTCTGTAAAGCACACATGGTGGTAGTTAGCTTCCTTGCTGTAGCAAGCTCTGTATAGCTTTTGTTTGTTCCCATTTGAGTGATCTTCATTTATTTCCTTACTAACTGCCATGTTGAATTCTGGCTACAGAACCTCTGCCCAGATAAATAAAGATGAATCAATTTATATTTTGGGCAACAATGTATTTTAAAAAGAAAAGCAAGATAAATTGTAAGCTAAACTTTGCAAATTTTAGTCATTTGCATCTGCCTCATAATTATAGTACTAGTTTTTCATCGCTTTTAGTTTTCAATTTTTTTTTGTCTTCATAGCTGTTTTAGTGTAAAGTTACAAGAGGGTGCTTAGTGCAGGCATCTTGTAACAGGAGTATCTATACTACTTTTTACAGGTATATACTATTATGATACAAGTTTTAACACACTAAAGGTTAATATGCTTCTAGGGCTGGCAACCTTGACTCTCTACACACACACACACACACACACACACACACACACACACAATCTTCCAGTGATTAATGAATCCTATTATCCAGATCTTTTATTTTTAAAAATTTACCCTCAAATGTATTCATATTTTAGAAAATAGTATTATTTCCCAGAATTGACCATAAGCTAATTCACAGAACCACTTGGTTGTCTAATAAATTTTCTAATTAACGGGATGCCTTCTAATTAACAAAAATGTTTATACCTCACATTGTGCTGTTAATAGCTTTGTAGATTTTAATGAATAAATGAGGACCTAGGACGCATACATATCGTTAAAGGAAGAAAAGCATCAGGTTATTTAAAAGCAATGAACAGGTCTTTTTTTCAGTTCTTTCTAATCAACTGAGAAAAGTTAAACTTCATAACTTGTGGTTGCTGTGTGAGTCAGTTTTTCTTTTATCTGCTTTTCACCTCTGCACACAGTCTTGTGTCCTTGAGACACGAAGTAATTTAGAGAGGCTCTTTGCTATTCTTGGTAATTCGGCCTTGTTTTTCTACCACACACTCCAAAGCTAAGTGAAAAACATTTATCCTACTTAATCATGACAATGTAGATGCCAGAAGGAATTGAGTAAAACAGCATTGCAGGGAGGATCTGGCCCTGAGTGAGGGGGAATCCTGGCTCCTTCATTCTTTGTAATTTCCATAGCCATGTACTCCTTTCAATATTTTAGTAATATTTTCTTCATAAGTGATTATTGCCTTAAGTTATCAATTTGCATTCTGCTCCAATTGAAAATTATTTTTCTTTTCAACCACGTCTCACAAATGTGTTACATATGCTGATGAGGTTTACAGGATAATTTCTACATCTCCAATACAGATAGATGAATTTTTTGTTGTTGTTATTTGTTGGTTTGTTTTAGACAGAGTTTTGTTCTTGTTGCCCAGGCTGGAGTGCAATGGTGTGATCTTGGCTCATCTCTGCCTCCTGGGTTCAAGCAATTCTCCTGCCTCAGCCTCCCGAGTAGCTGGGATTACAGGCATGCACCCCCACGCCTGGCTGATTTTGTATTTTCAGCAGAGATGGTGTTTCTCCATGTTGGTCAGGCTGGTCTTGAACCCGCAGGCTCAGGTGATCCACCCACCTTGGCCTCCCAAAGTGCTGGAATTACAGGTGTGAGTCACTGGGCATAGCTTTAGAGGGGTGAATTCTTTATCATTTATTTAGATCAATTTGATGTTGTCAATATGTTCTGTACTGCATTTAACTCGAAGTATTCCACTGAGATATATCTTCTTATTTGAGTTGACATTCACACTGACTCAGAGAATTGTCATTTTTAAAGTAAAATAGCAAGCTTGAAGTCAACCAGTTTACCATCAGGCTAAGTCCTCTATCATTTGATTCCTTCCTCAATATTCCTTCATCTACCAAACAAGTATACAAAAGAGAAGTACATATTTTACTTAGCAGCAATAGTTGAATCACTTGAGTGATATTAATCAATAAAATTGCTGACAATGCAAGCTCTGGTAGAAATTATTGTCAAGTGCTTGCTATGTGCTGGGCACTGACCTAGGCAGTTATATCTCACAGCAACCACAAGATGCAATTAGCATTCTTGTCTCCATTTAACTGAAGAAAAAGCTGATTCTTCAACTAGACAAGAAATTTTCTCAAGGCCACACAATGTTGAGTCCGCATTTTTACTTTGAATGGGTTGTTATCAATTTAATAGTTCCTGTTAAAATTTTTCATAAAAGCAAGTAAAAATCTCATGCAAATAGTTTTGTAAATTAAAAAATAAAATTTTAAGCCTGTCGCTGAATGAATGAGCACCCTCTTGGCCAAGGGGACCCTAGAGAAACCTTAAAAATTGAGTCCCCAGCCATGATGGGAAGGAAAGTCAGACACTCTTCATTATACCACCTCCTTTTTGGAGTTAAGGCACAACCACTGACCAGCAGGAATGTTAGAACAGGGATCCTGAGACTGACAGAACACTCTTTGTGACAGTAAGATACCAAATTATAAACAAAACCTAAGGCCATGCAAGGCAAGTGTTAAGTCACATCTGCGGCACATTCATCTTGCTAAACAGGTCACATTATAGCTGACTGACACCACATCTTTATCTTAATTTAAACATTCCTTCCTGCTAACTACAAGTTTTTAGACAAAGTTTTGTCCTTTATTTGCAGATTAAAGAGTCTCGGAATCCTCTTGTGGTTTGTAAGCCCCTGCTTTAAGACATCCCATCTTTTTGGGTGGAACTAATGTATACCTTCCATGTACTGATTTATCTCTTTGCCTGTAACTCCTGCCTCCCTGAAATGTATAAAACCCAGCTGTCATCCAACTGCCTAGGGCAATTTTCTCAGGACTCCTTGAGACTGTTTCGGTGAGCAGTAGTCAGTCATACTGGCTCAGAATAAGTCTCTTTAAAAAATTATACAAAATTTGTTTTTTCATTAAAAATTTAAACTTACTTCTTAACTACAAGTATGAAAAATAAAGTGAAAAAACGTGATTGAAGGGAGAGATTGCGTTGGATTCACATACTAGCTCTTTAAAAAAATCTTTTTAATTTAAAATACAGTATTTCTTTGTAGAAAGGATTGAAAGGTTAATCATAAAACATGTCACCGTTCAAATGAAGCGTGTTTAGGAATCAAGGGTGACTGCCTCCAGAATCTGTTATTGTAAGACTTTATTTTGCCTCCCCAATATGTTAACTCTGTACTTCTTATCTTTGTTGCCTGATGTAAGTTTCGTAGATTCCATGAGCCTCAGCTTCTTCATCTGTAAAATGGAGATCTTTGAAGAAATGTATTGTGAAGATTAAATAAGACCATGACTCTCAAGTGCTTAGCAAAGCATCTAGCATCTACTAAGCTTTCCATAAATAGTAGTTAAGAGCTGTGGGATTTTGCTCACATTCTTAGCCCATTCCTCTCCTTGCTTTGATTTATTCTCTATCACAATTTTATTGTGGATATAAAGATAAGATTTTGTGTTAATATCTAGCATGGTATAACATAAGGAACTGGGATGAGGGAGATTAGACCTCATTTCCCCTCTCAGGTTTTTCCCTAACACATTACAACACTGAGAACCTCAGTGAGCTTTCCCTGTGCTCAAATTCATCCTTATGGAAAAAATAATGTAGGTATAATGGGTTCTGACAACAAATACTCAAAGTTAAGCCAAACTTCACAGGCTTTGGACACAATCTGCCATACTAACGCCCTCACTTCAGACACCAGACACAAGTTTAGGAGTCTTCAGGCCACCCTCACTTTACACCAGCCGGCTACAATTTCAGGGGCTTCCATTGTTCTCTAGGTTTGATAACTTGCTAGAAAGATTCACAGAACTCAGGAAAGCACTATTTTTATGATTTCCATTTTGTTATATCAAAACTGATACAAATCAGAATTGGCCAAAGAGAGAGATGCTTAAGGCAAGGTGTGGGAAGCTCTCGGTTGCAAAGCTTCCATCGTCACCAAGGATGCACTACTTTTCCAGCACATCCACGTGTGACAGCACATAGAGGAGTGCCAACCAGGGACACCCACCTCAGCTTTGATGTGGAAAGTTTTTATCGGGGCTTCATTAACTAAGTATGACTTATTCAATCATAGGTCACATAGTTGAACCCAGTCTCTGTTAGGCAGGAATCTAGACCCGACATGGTGGCGCCACCCGGCATAGCAGGCCCTTTGTTCGAGACTTCCCCTCCTCTTTGTACACACCCACAGACTTGCATACGTCAGAGGTTCCAGCTGGGCAACCACACTGCCCCATGACCTGCAGCTCACCTGCATTCCACAAGTTCGTAAACAGCAGTTTCAGTTAACAGTTTCCAAAGACCCCTTCCTCATGACCCTTACTCAACTCCTGCCCTAGTAGTTTCAAGACCCCCCTGAAGCCCTGTTTGCACAACCAGCTTCCCTGCCTCTCGGGCTATAAAAAGCCCCTACCCTCCTCCCTCAGCGCGACTTCCTCGGCCCGCACCTTTGGACCGAGGAACCTCGCCCGCGAGTCCTAGTAAAGGCTATTCTCACTGCCATTTGCCATGTCTTCGTTCCCGGTTCGGCTCCAGCCTCCGTTTACCTTTACAGTCTCCACAGATTTCCGACTGATATCACATGGCTCAAAGCCTCAAGCATGGCATCCCCTGGTCTGCCTTTCTATTGTGGCCAGCCTCCCATCCTGAGTCATTTCCTTGGCATAAGTTATCTAGGGGGCCCTGCTGTGAGTCACCTCATTAGCATAAACGACCAGATGTGGTCCCACTGTGACTCACAAAGACACTGTGAAAAACTCCTAGGATTCAGAATTGACCTCATCCGAAGTGGGAACAATGGCTGGCCACATTCTCTATTACACAGCAGGTGACACGAAATATGCTCTCCAGGAGCGTGCTCATTCTATTTTCATCACATCAGCTTAAAATACAGATCCCAGGAATATTTTTTAAATGAATAATCATAAAAAGAAAAAGCAAAAAAGTACGTGAAGGGGATGTTCTTTCTTCCATAATTGACTTCCACAAAGTAGGCACAGAAGGAAGAGATGACTGGCATCAGAAACACACTCTGGCTGGGAAAAAAAAAGAAAAAAAAGGTAGCTGGAAAAGGTGGCAGTGAATAAATTATGCCCAATTACATAGTCATCTATTATCTAAAGCTTCAACCACATGCTGTTATTAATTCCTAAATCAGTCATATTTATAGAACTACATCCTGGTGTCTTTTGGTTTGTTTGTTTGTTTTTTGAGACAAAGTCTCTCTCTGCCACCCAGGCTGGAGTGCAGTGGCGCAATCTCAGCTCACCGCAACCTCCACCTCCCAGGTTCAAGTGATTCTCCTGCCTCAGCCTCCCGAGTAGCTGGGATTACAGGTGCCCGCTGCCATGCCCAGCTAATTTTCTTTTGTTGTTGTTGTTATTTCTTAGTATAGACAGGGTTTCACCATGTTGGGCAGGCTGGTCTGGAACTCCTGACCTCAGGTGATCCACCCACCTCAGCCTTCCAAAGTGCTGGGATTACAGGCATGAGCCGCCATGCCCAGCCTGGTGTCCTTTTAACTGTGCACCAAAAGCTTTAGAATTACAGTAGGTTGTGGGACTTGATTCCTCACATCTTTCATTCTTAAATCTTGTGATATGACCCTTTTCCTATACAAATATTATTGGGCAGTAATAGGATTTTCCACCTATCAGACCATAAAAAGTGTCAATACAACACATGAAACTTACACATATTGTTTTGTTTTTCAGCTCTTTCTTAAAAAAAAAAAAAAAAACAACCTGTTTCAGGAAAGTATTTTAAGCATATCATAATGACTTAAATAACTTACTTATTACCATAAACAGTCATATACTAAGTCATCACTGCTTTGCTACTCTTTACCATTAAAAGATGTCTTCTCTGTTTATCTTCCCAGGCTTATAAGTAGAACATCAACCTGCTTTAATTGTGTGTGTGTACGTATAGGTATGTAGAGATGCATTCTTTGTGATAGGAAGTGATTAATATTGCAAAGAAAATGGACATCATCCTTCACTGAGATGATTAATTAAAATGTAATGCTTTCACACATGTACTTTTGTTTGTAGAGAGATGCAATAACTTAAAAAAGCATTCTCTGTGCAATTTCTTATGCAAAATGCTCTTAGATATGATATATTCAAAAGTTTTTAAATACTAATTGGCAGTGTAATGCACTGTTTGTATGGAGAAAATATTTCTAAGATGTAATATAGAACCAAATGAGGATAAATGATTGGATTTTTTTTTCCAGTCATCTTTTAAGCCAATATGTAGCCAGGTTAAACTAGGCTAGATCTTAGCAACAAAGAGATATTGTTCTCCTGGGACTGAGCTTCTATTGAAGAGGTAGACATATTTCATAATTTATTCCAATCAGTTTCATAATGATAACATGTTCTATGAGGCAACAGATCTTAATAATCCCATTCAGCTATACTTCCTTATTGAATTTCTTATGAAGTTGACACAAATACACGTGTTATTGAGGTGTGTGATATGGAATGTTCTAAGAGTTTTGGATGAACTAAGACTTATTCTACCTAGGTGCTGTGAGAAAATCCTTCAGAAATGAGTATTATTGGAGATGAATCTTGAAGGATGAGTAGTAGCTGCCTAAGCCAATAAGGGATGAAAAATATTTCAGTGAGGAGTAGCTTGTGAACAGCATGAGCATAAGACAAAAAGGAATGGCCAGGCACGGTGACCCATGCAGGTAATCCCAGCACTTTGGGAGGCCGAGGTGGGTGGATCACCTGAGGTCGGGAGTTCGAGACCAGCCTGACCAACATGGAGAAACTCCTTCTCTACTAAAAGTATAAAATTAGCTGGGCATGGTGGTGCATGCCTGTAATCCCAGCTATTCGGGAGGCTGAGGAAGGAAAATCGCTTGAACCAGGGAGGCGGAGGTTATGGTGAGCCGAGATCGTGCCATTGCACTCCAGCCTGAGCAACAACAGCGAAACTCCAACTCAAAAAAAAAAAAAAAAAAAAAAAAAAAAAAAAAAGACACAAAAGAATGAACTTCCAGGTAATGTAAGAAGTGGAGATAAATTTAACATAACCAGGAACTAGGATAGATTGAGTTTAGATAAATGCTGCCTGAGGAAGTAGAGGAGTACGAAGGAGGTCACTGCTGATATAGAGAAGTCTCTGCTTCTAATTTGCTGCAAGAAATATACAGCAGGAAGCTCACTGCTTCCATCTCTCATCTGAAAGTTCAGGACCCTTCCATGAGCTGTTCCTGGAGCCTTCTTGTGTGTGATCTCCCACAAAAGCCACATGACGAATTGGTTTACAGTGACAGGAAATGAAACAACGTACAGAAGCCTTCCTTCATTCTGTATCTCTCCATTTCTTCCTGTTTTGCAGCCTCAGCCAATTCCTTTCTCTGTCTCCAAGCTTACTGGGAACATTCCTGTTCCTGGACACAATTCCTGCCTGGAATACTCTGCTCATCTTCTGCTTCAGGGGTCAACTCTCCAAACCCTGTCTCTCTTTAAAGTATTTCCAAAACACCCAAACTAAGATGAATCTCTTTTTGTCCTTTTGCATTACTATTTCACATTTGTCAAAGTAGATTCTATTTGTGCATCTATTTCAACAGATCGCTCTCAGTCTTATGTCACAGTAAGTGTTTGCTTCATAAATAATACATTTCTCAGGGGAGGTCACCATGTTTGAATCTCCAGTGGTCCCTACAACCATGTATGGCACATAATGGATATACAATATACATCTGGTCCATAAAAATTAAGCTGTTAAAAATTTTTAATAAAATTTTCAAAGCAGAAATCATGCCTCTATAATAATTTGGCTTTTTTGGACATGTAAGGCAGCATTCTATACTATATATTAAGCTTTATTCTAGGCTTTTACTAAAAAGAGAAACATACTATCAGTTAATGGGGCACAGAATATTCAAGTGCAGGCTTATCTTTCCTGACACTTCAAACTATAAATTCATTTTCCATTTTCAAAGCCATAAACCATGTTCTCTGATATCTGGTTCAACCAGAAGGTTTTACTATGTAATTTTATACTCCCTTTGTTGATGTACCTAGATAACTTATTGCTTTATGAGCTATAGCCTATTAACAGGCATTTATATTGAGCAACTTCTTTTGAATAAAATATTCCTGGGGAAATACAGACACTGCCATGTTATTATTAAAGCACTAAGGAAATCTATCACTTTTTGGGAAAAGAAACATCTCACACTAATCACATCCTTTTTGCTTCTAGTGTCAAATGCTTTTTAACCAGTTATTAGCTGTTCTTGCTCTTTTCCTCTCTGTTTTGTTAAAAATATCTACAATCTTAGTATTCTCTTTCTTACTTTGTACTAGAATATTCAAAAGTAAACTTGATTTTTCTATCTCCAGTCCTTTTATTTAATGTAATAAGAAGCTGTCCTTACTATTTGCTCAGTGATTGATATATTTGTTGTCTAACTCAAAATTTGAGCATCAATGAGATGGTCATCTACCAAACTAAATTCTCTTTATAATGATGAGTTGCCTTACTCTAGCCTCAATATGGTTTTAGCAGTTGGTGTATTTTACCTTCTCACAGCAATGCCTGAGATTATCTCTAAAGAACCTGAATGTGACAAAGAGAAGAAAAAAAATCATTGAGCAAAAGTCAAGAGCTTGATACATTTTTTAGGACTCACTTGTGCCAAATTAATTTCCTTCCCTTTGATTTAATTTCCTTATTTTGAAAATTAAGTCGCACTTGATATTTAGGGTTCTTTTCTGCTTGAATACGCTGTGGCTTCTAGGAGACAGCTCTTCTTTCGTGAATTTAAACATAAATCATTTTAGATAAACCTAGTTTTCAGGCATCCACCTGATTCTCTATGCTTTCCTAATAAATTAGCAAATAAATTTATACAACTAGGAGCCTAAATTTATTAAAATAGATGGCTATATTAATCTTACTACAGACAAAATTTATTTTTCAGATCATCTGCTCTATTTGATCTGGCCTAAGGATTAGTCTTCTAGCAGAGAAGAAAACAGATATTTAGTAACTGAGTAGTGTGCTCGCCTCGTTTTCTAGAATCTTTCTTAAATAGGGAATCTAAGAAACTTGCTTCATTTTTTAAAAAACCTTTGGCAATTTCAAAAACTCTCTCCATTTTACTATAGTAGAAAAATTCCACAATATCCAACTGACCTATATTGTCCTTGCTTTTATCTGTATTTGCACTGTTGAACAATGCTGCCTGGGTCCCCGGCCTATGGACTTTAAAGAAGTTTCATATTCATCAACAGAAAAAAATCCAGTCTTTTTCTCCTATACATCCCCTTCTTCCCATTCTGACTCTGTCTTCTTCCACTTACCACTCACAGTTCTCACATGTGTTCTCACAAATGAAAGTCAAGTATAGTCATCACAAGATAATGGTAGTTTTAAATTCTCTTTCTATTTTTATTCTCTTGCTTTACTTATCCCATTTTTATTTCAATCTCTGCCCTCCAAGAGGTCACCACAAGAGCAAGATTTCTAGGAAAACACACCTAGATTCTCAGTGCCACAATTTTTTGGGGTCTCATAAACATAGAAAGGATACCCTTATTCAAATGAGGAGTCACTTTTATCATGTGCTAGGAAATACTCCTTATATCCAGAGACTTGTGTAATATTTTATGAAGGTAGAGTCTTCAGCTTCAAGACTAACCTTTTTCTTTGTAGGACATTAAATCCATTCTAAATGAAGAGAAAGAGTCTATGCCCATCTTCCCATTATCTTCAACTTTCTCTTTTTCTGCTCTGCCACAAGGTCACATGATAGAAAGATTTGGAAGCCTGC